TTTATTTAGAAGGTGATTTTTTAATTTTCAAGTTGATTTTATTCTGAATTTTATTTAGTAGTCGATTGTAGATAATTGCTGATTTGAGTTTTTTTCGGTTAATTTTTTATTTAGAAGGTGATTTTTTAATTTTCAAGTTGATTTTATTTCGAATTTTATTTGGTAGTCGATTGTAGATAATTGCTGATTTGAGTTTTTTTCAGTTGATTTTTTATTTAGAAAGCGATTTTTTAATTTTCAAGTTGATTTTATTCCGAATTTTATTTAGTAGTTAATTGTAGATAATTGCCGATTTGAGTTTTTTACGCTAATTTCATATTGATTTTTATTTTAGAAAGTGATTTTTTTTAATTCAAACTAATTTTATACCGAATGTTTTTATAATTCGATCTAATCGAATTTTTATTTATTAGTCGATTTTTTATTTTAGTTGCTGATTTTGAGTTGATGTTTATTTTTGAGTATCGATTTTTAAATTCAGAAGCTGATTTTAAGATGAATATAAGCTGAATTTTATTAACATTCGGAATGATCAATTTTCATATTTTCGGCCAGTACTTTATTGGTTTAGTATGATTAGGTGCTATAATTAAAAAACTTCCAAATACTAATATATTCAAAATGAATGCTATTAATATTTTTAATAAACGATAAGAAAACTTTGATATTGATATTTATTTACTTTCATATTATCTTCACTCATGATACTGTGGTAATGGTTTAAAAAATCTAAAATTTTGGAATCTTTGTAAATATGTTTTAGAGCTATATTTAAAACAATTTCATGATAAATTGGATTATAAAGAATTAATGAACCAATTATGTAAATATAAGGCTAAAAATGCACCTTTTAATTTTCCTTTTAATGATGTTCATCAAACACCTGAATTATGGTAGTCAATTATTGACGATAACTATTCTCATTTACAAGAATTTGTGAAGATATTATTTTTAATAACACCTTCACAAGCTTCTTGTGAACGTAATTTTTCAGTACTAAAATAGTTATATGGTGATAAAAGAACACAACTTGAAACTACAAGATTAGAGGCTATGATGAAAATACATTTCTGGTATTTTTCAAATATTACAAAAGAACTTCATTTTTATGATAAGAACATTTCAATTCAAGATCTTTATAACGACACACTAGAGCAAACTACATTTGCAAACTAAGAAAATCTTCATAAACTAATTAATACAGATATTATTATTGAATTTTCATAGCAAGTTGAAGGAAAATTACAAATCAAAGATTTAATTGATTTAACTAATCCAATAATAATTGAAGATTGTAGAGTTGATGATTTGGAAGACAACAATAATAATATTGAGAGTCATGAAAATTTATATTTTGATGTAGATAATATTGTAAAAGAAGCTTTCGAAGCTTCAGAGCAATAATATAATTTGCATAGTATACTGTATAAAACTATGTAAATGAATAAAGAATTAATAATATAAAAAATTGAAGCTTTTGATAAAATTAAAATTGCAAACTGTTTATCATTAATTTTAAACTCCTATTTCAGTATTTTGGAATTGTATTATAGCAAATCTCAAACTAGTTTTGGCTATTTGGGATTTGAGCATATGCTAAAACTATCGGATTTGGGTCCTATCACTACTCTTGACTAAATGAATGTAACATGACCAATTTAAGTTGTGGCTGGAGCTAAACCATGCATATATTGTGTATTACTCTTTCAACCAGTTATAACACTATATATAAAAGTCAAAATTTTTATTAACTCTTAGATCATTACAGCATGTTTATGAAATACCCAAAACTTAAAAATTTTTACTACTGATAGTAAGTCTATTTTATCAACCTAAATATATATAATTTATTATAGTAATATGACTGGCTAATTTAATTAATAATGCATATTATATGTATTTGTGATCTTTTGTGATTTTAAACTATTATATAGTTAAAATAAATGTATATACAAATTCGTTTACAATTGCAAAAATTAAAAATGAGTTGTAATAGTTGGAAAATAGGTTAAACATAATATTAATATAGATCAAAAGTCCAAAAATATTTTTCTGAGGCTTAACTAGAGTTAATCACTATTAGTTTCAGTGGCTAAATATTTAGAATTAGTGATCAAATATTAATTAAATTTCATAAATATATTATTGTTTGGGATAATAAATTATATAGACATTCTCAAGATATTCAGAAAATATTATATCAGATTGGTGTATTATAGTAGCTGATTAATATTAGATTTTTTGAAGATCCTTATCAGAATGATTTTAAATATTGTTTTTAATTATTTTATTATTTTATCATAAAAAATATAGCGAGTATAGAGATATAAATTAATTTATTATAAGTTAGATTATCTGAAACTTAAAATTTTTACTTTGTTACATATATAAATAAATAATATTATTTATTTTTTAAAAAAAATTTTAAATCTGAATCATTATAAGTTTATAATTTGTTTGTTTTAATAAAATTTTTCTAAATAAAATTTTTGAATTAAAACAAAAATTAGATTAGAATAAAATCTAAAAATATTAAATTATATAAAATTAAAATATAAAAGTAAATAACAAATAAGTAATAAAGTATTTTATAATTTTAGAGTTTCAATTTGGATAAATCTATTATCTATTTATCTGTATTCAAATTATCTAAGTATATCAGTTAAACTTTTATATTTGAGTATATTTGTTGATTACTTGAGTAATCTGTAGATTTATTTATCAGATAATCCAAGTAGTATTTTTTTGATCAGATACAAATATTATAAATATTTTTCTAATTCTAGTAAATATAGCAGAAGTTCATTTTGATTAGCTATTGATTTACCTCAGAAAATATATTAATTATACTTCAGATAAAGCATCAATTATATCTTATTATAAATTATTTTTGATTAGCTAATTTATTTATCATTTTTTTATTTTACTATTACTAAATAATGCTAGCAAGCTTTATATACTTTCTTTAAACAATATAGAATTTATTCAAATCTTAATAACTTTGTAAAATAAGGTCTAGTAACCTAGTATAGTAGTTAGATTGCTATACAATAGGTCTGGAGTTCAAATCTCACTGTTGACGAATTTAAATAATTTTTCAGACCTTGTGATATGTTACAGTAAACCTTATCTGTTTCTGAAAGTATACCTTTGTAAATTGAGTTGCACTAAATCAATTAAAATTTAGAAGTATAGTATAATATTATATGAATAAATTTTGATAAGATATATAAGCAGAAGACTTGTATAGTAGAAATTTTGAGTTAGTAAAGTAGTATAGCCTTCTAACAGATCTATATCAGCTAAAGTCTAATCAGAGAAGAAAACTCATTCTAATAAAAGTAAAAGGTTTTGAGGTCTTTAGACAAAATATAACTGGGACTGACTAGATACTAGAAAAGAACTAAGTCAACTAACAAGTGAAGGACTACAGTAGAACCTGAAGTTGTATGAATATCTACAAGAGTCTAAGCTAGATGAATCTGTAAAATGAATACAGACTACTCTAGTAGATTTGCTTTGAGGTTAACTAGCTCTACAATATTAGTAATGTATCTAATATAATATATTCTGAGAGAACCTAAGCTATTCTAAATAAATAGATTTTAATAAGTTAGTTGACTTAAGTGATTAGGTATTAAGGTAACATTAGATTAGATCTATATAGGTTAATGAATAGAGTGTTTAAATAGGTAACTCACAGACAGATTACAGGTATAGCAGCATAGTATAGAACTAATTAGGTAGTCTAATACTTATGTAGCAAACTACTTAAAATAGATAATAACTAAAGTTGTACATGTAGCTTGTTGTATAATCTTTATATAATTACAAATAGTAGAGATTATTAATATATAATCCTATTTGCAATACTAATAAAATTCTTTCAGCAATATGAGCTACCTTAATAATAAAAAAAAAAAAATAACTTTGTAAAATGAAAAATTAAAATTACTCTAAATTATATATATTTTATAGAAAAATTATATAACATCTAAAAAGTAAAATAGATATAAATCTGCATGATCTGTAAAAATATAAAAAAAGTGTAGATTTTTATAAAATTTTTAGTAAAAATCTATGAAATTTTGTAAATTTACAAATTTGTGCAGAATTGCATTTAATTTCTGTATCTATCAGTAGCAAATCTGAAGATTTGTATAGATTTTATTAAATTTATTATTTAATTTTTTGCAAATCTGCACAGAATAGTACTAAAATTGATTTTCTGATAAAGGTATGAATTATGATAAGACAATACTATACTAGAACTTTAATACAAGCTTGAGATATTAATTTATTTTAGTTATATATTTCAGATAATAAATTACTAATCTAGACAAAACAAATCTAATCATACTTTTTTTGTAGATCATTTTAATCATTTTTTGAGCTAACACAAAAATGTATTTTTCTAAGAATTTGTATTAAGAAACAATACAAAAGATATTAAGCAAAAGGAAAGAGCATACAAAGTTACATATAATAAAAAGAAAAATCTAGAAAACTTTGAAAATAACTAGAAGAAAACTTGATTCTTAAAGAAAAGGTATAAAAATTTTAGAAAAAGTGGGGATTTGAATTTACTCTGACATGCAGATCATCTATTGTAATACAAAAGTTACAAAACAAAGTAAACAAACTTTATGTGAGTAGATTACTAATTTAATAAATCATATATGAACTAATAAAAAAGAAGTATACAATATCTAAACTAGACAAAATGCAGACAAACAGAAAAAATTCTAGAGTTTTTCACAAAATAGTAAAAGTTTTTTTATAAAAGTAGAACAAGATAAACTACAATATCAGCAGATAAAAATTATAACTATACAAGGTATCCAAAAGAAAGCTACTTAGTAAGCAGAAAAAAGATAGCAAGCCTCAAAGTGATGTTTAAAGAAGAGAAACTACAGAAGCTCTCTAGTATAATTAAAAGTATAAAAGGGAGTTTAAAAGTAAATAAATAAATTTATTTCTAGAATTACAGGAATAAGTACCAAAATCATTACAGTAACCAAAAATTAGTATAAAATAATAAAGAAGATAATTATTGAAAAAGATAAAGAGGTACTAAATATAGCTCTCAAAGAGCTTAAACAGGAATATATAATTATAGTAAAGATTAAAAACAGCAAGATAAGTTCTAAAGAAAATAAGAATACACTAATATTAGATATTTCATAGTTTAAAAAATCTTTACAAATAGAGACTAAGTTAGCAATCTAGAAGTTAAATACTGAGACTTCAGAGACTAGCTTAGTTCCTACCAAACAGATGATTATAGAGAATATAGAGAACAATACAACTCAGTAATCTCTAAAGAAATTGAGTATATAAATAAGAAAACTGCAATGAGTAACAAAATAGTAGTTGAGATTCTATTTATAAAGAGAAATTTAGAAGGAGTTCAGAAAGTATTTAACTTGCAAAAGAATAGCATAGTAGCTAGCATGTTAATAATGAACTGTGAGATTAATTTAGTTAGTGCTAAGCCTGCAAAGAATTAGTTTGAAAATCTAGTCTTGCATACAAAAGATATAATATTTGAAGATATAGAAAATACTCTACTGAGAATGTTACAAAAAGAAATTAATAACCCAAAGGAGTACTAGAAAAACAATTAGATTATACAGTTACAAATTATAAAGAACTACAAAGAGTCTTATTTGAAGATAGTTTGTGAGCTTTTAATGAAAATACCTGCAAAAAAATAAGAGAATATAGAGCAAAAATCTCTTCTATCTTACTTTCTGAGAAATCAAAAGAAGAATGAATCAAATTCATAAAAGGAACTTTATACAAAAATAATTATATAAATAAAATTGCAGAATATTTTGAAAATGGAAATAGTTGAGTAGTTATCAACTTTGATTACTTTAAAAGCTTAAACATCTTGAGAGAGAAAATTAAAAAAAAGCAGATTAAATAGTATAATGTAATCTTTAATGACTATGAAACTATAAAAGATCTAGAAGATATCTTCAAAAAGCTACTAAATCAAAGATGACAAGTTCTAAGAAACAGAACTCTAAACAGAAGGTAAATAAGTTCTTGACTATAAAAGAAAAGACTAGTACTCAGTCTAAAAAACTAGTAGATGAAGAAAAAAAGTAATAGCTAAAGTTAACTTAATTATAGTATGAGACCTTCCAAAATTAGCAAAGAGAATATATATGTTCGAATCTATATGCTATCTTAGACAAGTTAGTTATATTAAGATAATCAGAAAAATATATAGAAAAATATGAATAGAAGTTGAATTCATATCAAATGCTATTTTTGTAGAAGACCTCATAGATATATAATATATTTCTTTACTGAATAACTATTTAGTAAGAGTTATATTAGAAAGAAACAATATAGAGTTACTCAAAACTCGAAACATATATTTTAGAAAAATTCTATATCTACTAGAGAATATAAATAAAGTACTACTATAGAAACAGGTCAAACAAACAGGAGCTAAAACATTGCATATTTTTAAGAATACAAATAATAATAACAATAAGAGAAGTATAATAGTTTATTTTGCAAGTAAAACTGATCTGCTAGCTAGCCTAAGGTTTTTAGTATACTATTATAATAATAAACTAAAATAAGTAATAGTAGAAAGTAATAACTTCAAAGAGAAAGAACATATTGAAGCAAGTAAAATAGTACTTAATATAATGCAAAAGTTAAGTTCTAAAAGATTAGGAAAGAAGAAGAAAATAGAATAAGATCTAGGTGAAGATTGCTTAAAGTATATATATAGAGAGCTAGAATTTAAAGAAAGAGAGTTAATATCACAAGAAGATCATACAAAATGTAGTAGCTATGAAAGTAGCAGAAAATAAATTAGGAAGAAACATACTCTTAAACATAGAAGCTAATATAGGAAAACCAAGATATGATAGCATATCTTTAGACTATAATGTATGAGTATCTAAACTAGAAACATGTAAAGACAAAGAAGAGATCAAAGTGAAGGTAGTAGCAATTAAGATTTTAGGAAACAATATATAACAAAAAGAAAAGTCAATAAGGTGATCACTGAGAGAAAATAGATATATCAAATCAATTCAAGAAAAATTTGCAAATAGAAGCTTATGATATATTATATATTTTGATTGCAAAAGAGAGTATGAAGAAGCTAGATCAAAGTAAGAAAAAAAGAAAGATGAATTTAATCTGCTAAATCTAATACTCAAAAAAAAAGTTAAAAAAGAAAGTCTAAAGAAAGAAAAGACTTTGCAAAACAAAAAAAAAAAAAAAAAGTAAGAGAGATCTAAGCAAAGAAGGAGCTTGAAGAAATACAAATAAAGAAATCAACTTTGTATAATCAAACTGAAAGAAGCAAGTACTTGACAAGTAGTATAAGCAAAAAAAAGAAAAGAAATAATACCTAACCAAACAGAAGAAAAAATCTAGCTCTAATAAAAAATAAGAAAAAAAGAAGAATATACGAATAAAAATCTTTTCTAAATGAAAAAAAAAATATCAACAAAGATAACAATATAGCTAAAGAAGAAGAGCTATATTGATGCAAAGAAAAAACTATTACTGTATAGGATATACTCTACTATATATCAAGATCACAAGTATTCTTTGCAATTAAACATTTAAAACATATTAAAAATATTAAAATAATAAGAGAAAAATATAGAAAAACAAGAGCAAAAGTTACTTTTGAAGAAGAAAGTAGTTTTATATAAGGAATTGAAGCTTAGATCATTCCTCTTATAAATAATCTCTTAGTATATATAACATCAGGATTAAATAGAAAGAAGATACTAAAAAACTGAAAACAGTATATAGCAAAGCTATTCAACATATTACAAAATATAAATAAAATGTTGCTGTTTAGACAACTAAAATATACTAGTATAAGTGCAGTATATCTTTTTAAAAATTCAAATAGAAACAACAAAAGCTATATATTAGTATCTTTTAGAAACTAATGAGAAATAGCTTAAAGAAAAAAATATACTGTTAAATACTATGATATTAGACTTTTTTAGGAGATTCTTAAAGTAGAATTAACTGAAGCATACTATGCTAAAGAAAGATATAAGCAAAAATTCTATACTTATAAATCTAGTACAAGAAGTTTTAAGAGATATGAATTATTTTTTGATAGGTTAACTTTCCTTTATAGAAATGAAAAAGAAATCTCAGAAAAAAGAAACAGGCTAGAAAATAAAATATATGCAAAAATAGAAAATCATAATAAATATTATATAGAAAAAGGAAAGGAAAAGCAATACAAAGAAAATAAGTATAAAAAAACCTTTAATGAAATAGCATAATGTATTCAAGCTTTAAAAAAAAAATTAAATAGCTTTGAAAATAACTAGAGTTTAGAGGCCTAAATCACTTCTAAAAGTAGCCAAAGTTGAACCAATTAAAGCTCTAGTCGATCAAGAAGAAAAACTTGAAAGACAGAATAAAACATAAACAAGTATAAACTAAAATAAGAAAGAATATAAAGGAAATATGAAGAAAAGCAAGGTAAACAAAAGAGTAGAAGATAATACTAACAACAGAATTAAAAAGCAAGAGAGTATAAAAATAAGTGTATATAATATTAATAGAATTAAAAGAGATAATACAAAAATTGAATTACTAGCAGAATATAATAAGTCTGAAGGATATAATATAATCAGAATAGTAGAAACTAATATAGGAGAACAAGAAGGCAAGTAGATAAATACAGAAGAATTTAGCTTCTCAAGCTTTTGAACAAAAGCAGAAAAAGGAAAATGAAAAGATCAGAAATTGGGTTACTAGTTAATTAAAGTTGGTTAAGAAATATAGGGATCTGTAAAAAGTTTAACTCATATTTGCTTAAGACTGAATTTTTCTTCTGAAGAGTAGTTTTTTAAGTTTGAATAGTATACTTATTTTCTAAAAATAAAGAAGTAATAAAAAAAGTTTATAAGATACTAATAGAAGAAATTATTAAAAATAAAAAAAATACAGTATATATAATTTTAGGAGACTTCAATACAGTACTAAGTAAAAGACTAGATATGAGTAGTGAAGGAAGGAGAAATGTAAATACTAGCATAAAAATCACAAAATAGTTAAAAAATACTGACTATATAGAAACTTTCTGATTTTGTAATCCTGAGCTAATCAAGTACTCATAGTCAAACAGAAATATATTAACTAGAATAGATTATATCTGGACAACACAAAATATGAGAAGCTTTATTTTAGATAGTAATATAGAACAAATAGAGACTATAACAGATAGTGATTACAAACTAGTCTAGATACAACTAGATAGTATAGAGATTTTAGAGAAAAATAAGCAGAGAAGTAAGAAGAAACAAAAGGAAACAAAAAGATTATATCAATACTACAAAGCAACAAAAGATAATTAGAATAACTATAGTCAAGAAGTAGAAAAAATTATTAGAAATACAGAAAAAAGAAAAAGAAGAGAGAAAAATCAAATAGATATAGAGCCTAAGATAGATATTGACAAAGAATAGAAGCTAATAGCTTAGGCAATTTAAGTAGTAGCAAACAAACATATTCCTTCAACAAAAATATAAGATTCTAAAAGCCAAATAAGAAAAGAGACTACAAAATCTCTAATATATAGTAGAGCTAAAGTTCTAGGAAGAATATATAGAAAAAGATTTAAAAAAATAGAACAAAACATAGATAAACTAGAAAGAGTAATTCTAGATATACAAATAGATCACTTCAACATAGAATACAAAACTACTATTCTATATTTACTAGAAATCTGGAACAGAGAATACTATAATAAAATTAGAAGTAGTAGAATATATTAAAAAAAAGAGACAAAAAGAATTGTGAGTTGTGAAAGAAAAAAAAATAAAGAAGAAAATAGAAGAAAAATTTATACTAATATCTAAAAGTCAAAAGCAAATATTAAACAAGCTACTTGAATATCCTCACAACAAGATTATAGTCAATAGAGTTATAGTGCAAAGCAAAAGCAAGTTTGAAAGTAAGAAATTAGTTACAGAAAGCAATAATATTAAAAAGAAAGTAAAAAATATTTCAAAGAACAATTCAGAAAGTGAAATTACTAATTTGAGTGACTGAATTATGATTGAGCAAATATTTATAAAGAATAAGAAAGAATCAATAAAGCATGATATACAAAAGTCATAAACAAAATAACAGAAGAAGAATGGTCAAAAGTTACAAGTATGCTAAAAGAGGATATAGCATCTGATATCTCAAGAATTGGCTATAGGCTCATTAAAAAAGTAAGCCTAAAGAATACTTCGTAAAATTTACAAACAAAATAGTTTATGAAGATAAATTTTCTAAAAAATAGAAATTAGAACAAATATATTTAATTCCTAAAAGTACAGATTAGGAATTTAATTTGGTGAGTACTAGGCCAATAATACTTCTTGAAATATTTAGAAAACTTGTAGTTAAAATTGTTCAAAAAAGACTAAGCAAAGTTTTTGTCGAAAAGCAGATCTTAAAAAGAGCAAATTTTGCAGAACTTTCTAATAAAAATATTATCCCTTAATCTGTAGATCATTTCCAGGCAAATTTGCCTAGAAAATTTACTCTAAATAAGATATATTTAAAACCAACTTAGTTTTACTTGTTTCTTTTTAAATCGCATTCGTAGTATTTAAAAATCGTTCTGAACTGTATTCCAGGCAAATTTGCCTGGAAAATTTGATGTTTTACGACAGTAAACATTAGGGGCTTTATTTACCATAATAAGTAATGCTGCAGGATTTAATGTACGTACTGTTATATAATGATCATAATGATCATGCAGACTCGGAAAATTAAAAAACCTAAAAAAGCAATATTTTGCTTTTGGACTAATGCCCAAGTTTCAAGTATTTCGCTCAAAATCATAATGAATAAATATCTGGATTGTGAATTGGACGTTATGTATTGATTGAGTCAGTTGATCTAGTTACTATTTATCTGAATACATCAAAACCATCTAACCAGGTCAAATCTACTTGCATTTGAATGAATAAACTTTAAAAAAATAAATAAAAGTAATTGGGAGTTTCAGAATTAATGATTTGGCGTCTGATTTCAAATAAATAAGTAATGTATCTATGCCAAAATATGTGACTCATAAATCCTACTTTTTAACGTAAAAACTTATTTACATAATTGTTTACTGGTAGGTATTTATCAAACAAAAGTTAATTTTATTAACGTATACGTCTATTTAAATTCCCTGTGTCAGAATTTTAAAATAGAAATAGGATCTTTTAAACTCCCACTTATTTTAGAAATAAGTTAATTCTGAAACCCCTAATAATAAAATAAACTTTTGTCAGATCTAATTTTATCAATTATTGAATAGATCTGAAGCAATCCTTTTTTCTATTACCGGTGTTGGATAACAAGCTAGAACTTTCAATTTTTAACAAATAAAAAACGTACAAACCGTTTAACAATCAAGTATGCGTTACCCAAGAATCTTGATTAATTCGATAAACTTAATTTTTATTATCTTTTAAGTGAAAGTTTCTAAAACAAGTCAGCCTTGCTTTAGAGCAACATAACGGCACTTCACAGTTAGTGCACCAGAGCTGGGTTTGTGGAGGATTATCAGGATCAATATTTTTTGCTCCTTGTTGCGCCAAGTAACGGCAATAAACGCAAGCTATTCTTTTTTCTCTCCATTCAACAAAATGGTCTCCCCCTAATAAGCGAGTTACAGGCAGTTTATATTTTTTATTTATGACGATTCGTTTTCCTTTTGATGAAGTTTGAAGATCTTAATGCACCTTTATTTTTTTTTTCCCAACATCTAAAGCTTCACAGATCAAATCCCATACTAAATTAATTCTAAAATCCTTACTTGAGATATTCGAGTTAGTTACTTTACGATAAATAATTACACAATTTACAAGAACAGTGTCGAGAATCCAAAAAATAAAGGAAACCATGTTCGTCTAACTGTCAATTGACAGTTGTAATATCCACGAAGTTGGTCGGCGATATCTACCCTACCCATTTAATGGTTGTAGTCATCAATTATCCGTGGGATCTCCAATTCTTTTCATATCTATCTTCAAAAACACGACATACTGTATTTGCATTGGAACTTGTTTCACGGGGTCGCCTCCTGTTACGAATAACTTTCTAATTTTCACCAACAATTTCATGAATGGTAGTTAACATTGTTACAGGGCCATTATCCATCCAAAAAATAGCCAAAACATCATTAATTACTTTTCCCAAAAGTGTATTCCAATCTAATGCTATTTCTTTACCAATTTTTAATTCTTTAGGAAACCTGGATGAATTTGTATGAATGGTGCCACAGGCACCAATACCCTTTTCTCGTAAATATTTAAAAAGCGGGATACTCGAAAAATAATTATCCATATATATGTGATACATTTTATTATTAGGGAGCACATTGGCCAAATGTGCGACCAAGCATCCAATATTATTAAGCCCAGGGATAGATTCTATCAAGTCATTTTTTTTAACTCGCGAAGTAAACACAAATGCCCATGTATAACCATAATCACATAGAGAAATAATCTTATACCCCTCTGGGGTAGGTTTGTTTTTTACCCTTACTGTGTGTATACTTCGCCTGGAAAAACGTACGATTATTTCATCAATAGATACTCGTGAACTAGGGACATAATATTTTTTAACTGTACTTTGAATATGCGACGCGAACGGTTCGACCTTTGAGTACCATTGTGTATGAAGTTGACCTGGTGCAGAAATATGGAAGAATCTTTTAATTTGTTGGAACCTATAAAGTGACATAAACCTTTTAATTTCGTGGTTCACCGTTTTATCGTCTTGATTCCACAAATCATCCAATGCGTTAATATGATGAACTCCCATGTAAATGATCAGCCTAAGCCAAATCTTCAGTTCATTTAAAGTTAACGGATTCCAAACCTGACCACCTTCTCTACCTTTTACTTGCTCGTATGTATTAGTGTTCTCGATCATTAACTGCAACTGCTCATCGGTAAAAAATAATCGAAAGAGCAAAAGTGGTGATATGATGCCTAGTTGAAGTTCATGGGGAAGTGTAGCATATCCTTTATGAAGTGGATGGATATTTTGAATAGGATTAAAAGTGGGTGATTCTAATGATGATGATTCTAAATTTAAATGATTACTTTGTTCTTTATTCCTTCCTCTTCCTCTACCCCTTCCTCTTCCTCTACCCCTACCTCTTCCTCTACCCCTACCTCTTCCTCTACTCCTCCTAGTACTCACTCCTATATTTGTATCTTCGTCCGATTCTTCTATATATTCTTGTTCTTCTTCATTTATTGCATTATCAGTAGCTCTTACTAGTTCACAATCGATTACCAATTCGCCATGGTAGTCACGTTCGAAAGTAACTAAATATTGCAGGTCAGAATCTTCATTAGAAGTTGTATTGTCAAGAGACATGATTTAAAGTTTATTTATTTCTTTTTATTTATTTATTTATTTATTTATTTTTTTATTTTTTTTATTTTTTTTTTGATAAAGTATTACCAAAGTGATTTAACGAATTTCAATAAAATAAAAAAAAAAATGGGAATGGTGCTGCCACGAAACTTTTTTTTAACAAAAAAGCATATGGTAAACGAATTTTTTATTTTTTTAGAATGATAAAAGAACGTAATTAACGTAGGTTGCTAATAAGACAAATTGTCAGGTTGTCGGGTAGTCAGGTTTGTGTGTTTGTACATGAGACATTAAGTGATAAATACGAGATTACTGTACTTTGTCCTAACTAGTATCTTATCTTGTAATAAAGAACAAAGAACAGCGAAAAAAAAATAGCATACACGAGCAAAATGGTAGTTTGTCAACTACCTCAAGGCACATATGACAATCTCACAATCGCTTGCTTCAGTTTATTTATATTCTACAAGACGATTATTCAGCATTTTTTAATTTAGAGTAGCTTTAAATGCATCCAAACATTTACGTATCACTTCACATGCGATGAAGAACCAAAAGAATAGTTATAATCCAAATAGTACCCGTACGTACAATGCAGTACGTATGATTTTTTGATAATATAGGAACAATAAAGTACATACGTACTGTATGTATATACGTACGTACGTACTAAAGGTACTACAATAGTGCTAATTTAGGTTCTTAATCATTGCGCATTATCAGTCTTTAAAAGAGTAATACATGCGGGCACTACAATAATGCTAAATTTAATCTGTCGATCAGTTGATCACAGACATTCGTTAACTTTTTAAATCGTTCTGTGTTGTATTCCAGGCAAATTTGCCTGGAAAATTTATTATCAAATGATTGTGCAGGTTCTTCTGATTATAGAAAATCATGCATTAGGGGGGCTTTTAATTAGTACGATTTAGTGCTATGCAGAGATTTACTAAATGTTTTAAATTTTCCAGGCAAATTTGCCTGGAATACAGATTAAGGGATAACACTAATATATATTTAAATAATATTATTGAAAATGTAATTTAAAAAGATAAGGAGTTATGGATAGCATTTTAGGATATATGAAAAGCTTTTGACTCAGTTAGTATCTACACCTAAGAGCTTTTCATAAAAAAAATTAAGCTTCCAAAAATCTAATTAATTTTATTAAGCAATTGTACTAAAATTATGAAATAAGGGTGATTACACATAAAGGCCTAATAGATTTCTTTGTAGCTAGAAATAGTATAGATCAAGGCAAAGTAAACTCTTTGCTAATGTAGAAAATATTTTATAATCCATTACTAGTAAAAATACAGTAGCTAGAAATTAGATATCAAATAGAGCTATAATGCCTAACAGATATTAAAAAGTGAACTTACAAAACAGAAAAAGCTATAATTTCAGCACTAGTATATGCAAATGATACTACATAGATAGTAGAATCTAAAAGTATATTGCAGAAAATCATACAAGTATTAAATAGCTTTTTTATGCTAAACAATATTGAGATAAATAGAGCAAAATCTGAAACAATAGCTTAGAAACCCTACAAGCAAAAAAAAGAAAAAGAATATATTCAAATTAGAACTTCATCAAGCTTAGTTAAAGTTAAAAAACTAGAAGAATATACAAAGTTTTTAGATATTTAGATAAGTCTTAAAAAACAAGAGAAAACAGGTCTAGTGATCTTAGTGTAATGGTTAGGTTGCCAGACTACCATGCAAGAGGTCTGGGATTCAAATCCCACTGTCGATGAATTTGAATAATTACTCAGACTTTTGTACTCAACTTACGGTAAACCCTGTTTGTTTCTGGAGTTGTAACTCTGTAAATCATATTACACCAATATCATTCATATATTAGAAGTGTGACAAGGCATTTGGTGAGATATAACATTATACGAATAAATCTTGATAGGATCTATGAGCAGAGGATCTGCATAGTAGAAATCTCAAGTTAATGAAGTAGTATGGCCTTCGACAGTTACACTGGCTAACACTTGATCCAGAAAGGAAACTATCATCAAAAGATGCAGATCAAGTCAGGTGCGCATAAATCTAGTCTACAAGAAGGATTGGTAACACCAACTTGGCTTGGTAGCTAACTGGATTAGGAGGATCTGCCTTGTGAAATATCTGAGATTATAGAATACAGAAAACTGGTAGAGAGCCACAGTAGGAACTAGAGTTATACGAACATCTACATAGGTCTAAGCTAGGTGAATCTGTAAAATAAGTACGGACTACTCTAGTAGGTATGCTTCGAGATTAACTAGCTCTGCGATATCTACAATGTATTAGGTACAATATATCCCGAGAGGATCTAAGCTGTTCTGAATAAATAGATCTGTAATGAGCTAGATAGCTTAAGCAGTTAGATATTGCGATGACGTTAGGTTGAATCTGTATAGGTTAATGAACAGAGTGTTTAAATAGATAATTTACAGATGGGTTACAGGTATAGCAGCATAGTGTAGAACCAATTAGATGATCTAATCACCTATGCAGCGGACTACTTAAATTAAACAATGACTAAAGTTGTACATATGGCTTGTTGTACACTCTTCATGTAATTACAAACAGTAGGGACTATCAATGTATATCCTGTATACAATTCTAATAAA